TGTGTCCCTGCGTGTACGGTCCCCGCTGAGGCGTGGGTGTGTCCCTGTGTGTACAGTGCCCGCTGAGGCTTGAGGGTGTGTCCCTGTGTGTACGGTCCCCACTGAGGCTTGAGGGTGTGTCCCTGCGTGTACGGTCCCCTCTGAGGCTTGAGGGTGTGTCCCTGCGTGTACGGTCCCCGCTGAGGCACAACAGCACACTCGCCGATATGAGACGAGGTCGCGTAAAACTTCCAGGGCACTCAAGTCACAGAAACGTGACATGAGGAAGAGCCTCGCCATCGGTGCAGGTGCTCTCCCGCCCCCTCTCTGTCCGCAGCTGGAGGAGGAACGGCTCTCCGTCATCCAGAGGGACAACCGCCTGCTTCTGGAGAAGGTGGCCTCTGTCATGAGGACCAGGAGACAGACTGACGGCAAAAACGACTCCACACACAGGAGGTAAGGGAGGGGCTCCTGCCATCCCACGGGCTCCGCACCACACCCCAGTGCCAGGAAGGGGTTGGGGAGGAGCAGAAGAGCTGCCTGTGGATCCCAGTCGAGGCGTTTCTGTCCTCTCCCGAAGAGCCACACCTCCGAGGAGTGCCCTTTTCCTCGGCGGTTTGTGATGCTACGTTTTACTTGAGACTCCTAGGCTGCTTCTGCACCCTACAACTAAAGGGGGGCCCAAAACCATAGCTAGCAGCCGTGAGCTCGCCGTGTGCCAGACACTCCTCTGAACCTGCTAACGCACCTGACTTCAAACCCTCACATGGCCCCATGTGGCAGGGGCTCTTGTGTCTCTCACAGGAGCGGGGAACAGAGGCGCTGGGAGGCGACCACTTGGCTGAGGTTGCAGCTGGGCGGCGGGGAACGCAGCTGTGCCCCCGCCCTGATCATGCAGTTCTCAAAGGTGTCGGTTTCCAAAAGCAACTAAGGTTTTGGTTTCCCATCAGCAGACCAGTATGTACAGCATCTTTCTGGAAAAAACACTGATGGTCATGTAGCCATCTGGGTCCCAGCCTGGGATGCTGGTGCTGCTCTCACAGCCTTACTTTTTACCCAGAAGTAGAGTTCTACCCTTTATGAAGATGAAGATCAGCAGGATTTCATACCCTTAAAACCACCTTATAAGCGCTTGACCGTGAGTCCTAAAAGCCCCTCTTATTTAAGGTCAGAAACCTCTGTCCTCCTGCATTTTACACACCCTAGAATAACTTCATAGTTACAACATGGCCCTTTCCCTGTAAGTGCAAGATTTTGATCGTGGTTGTGATACTTCATTCTAATGAAGGGTTTTTTTGTTCCAGAAGTGCTCGGGCCTTTTAAGATCTTTGGCCTGTACCTGTCCCCAAGAAGCTTATAGTGTTTCAGACTTCATAATAAATTAAAATATAATGGATCCTCAGGTACCTTGAGGAGTGTGATGTAGGAAGGCTGCAGGCCCCACTGGGAAGGCGCTGCTCCAAGCTCAGGCAGGCCCTTCGTGGTCCTGCATGCTGGGTTCGTTCAAAGTCCTAACCAGAGCAAACCTGCCTCAGAGATGGTTCACTGCGGGCTCCCAGGGCTTCAGTGGAAGCCAAGGGAAAGTCAACCATTTTTGTCAAGAATGCATCAGTTTGGTGCTTGATAACTGGCTGTTTCATGTCTCAGCTGACTCCATTCTTTAACAAAGGACACTTGCCAAGTTAATGCACAATGCTGGAGAGAAACAGTCCATTTTCAGGGGAGTCTCAGCGGCTTCTGGAGCGCTGCAGACCAGTTGATTGAATGGAATAAATATGTCTAGCTAGCTGGCCAGCCAGTAGCAAAAGTCAACATGACAAGATAAACTATAGAGCCAACAACGGGACTTTCACTCCTGATTTCAGCTTTCGTATCTGTATTGAGATGTGATTGGCATACAGTAGACGCATATTCAAAGTGCATGTAATAGGTTTGTCATGTGATACACCCATGACACCAGCACCCCAGTCAAGACAGTAAACACATTCATCACTCCCCTCCCCAGGTTTCCCTGTCAGTCCTCCAGCCCCCCACCCTCTGCCCGTCAAAGGTTTCCTGCGGGTGCCATTGCACTTTCTGGATTTGATGTGCATAGGTTCATCAAGTGTCTGCATTTTGTCTGCCTTTCCCTTAGCACAATGTCATTGAGTAGTGATCTATCACAACATATTTATCCATTCACTACTGATGAGCATTTGGTTGGTTCCAGTTTGGGGCTCTTACAAATAAGACTGCAACTAGAGTCTACGTGAAAAGAAAAATCGGAGATAAATACCTCTGCCCAAGACTGAAAGCTCAATGACCAATAGATTTCAAGTGGAAGCCAGGTGAGAGACCCCCGGAATGACCGCATGGGGAGCTCCCTCGACCCACTTTCCAGCAAAACTTTTGTAAAAGATTAAAAACCAATCATTTAAAGTCTCTGCTGTATGCTCCTAAGAGGAAACATTTATTCAAAAAAAGCTACTGTAATTTGGCAAGAACAGCAAATGTCCCTGGTATTTGAGCTAAAACCTGCTCTCTCCCCACTGCTCCCAGCTCAGCAACTCAGATACACTCCAGAAGCTGCAGCCAAGCACACAAGTTCTTCTCCCCACAGCTCCTAGTCAAAGGGCCTTCTTCCTGGAAGGGGCGGGGCTTTGCTTTTCTTATCTTGTCCGCAGCTGCCTATTGCTGAGACTAAATCCCAGGTGAGTGGGCCCCGAACTGGAGATGCTCTTGTTCTGCCCAGCCCGTGTTTGTGGAATGGACCCTCAGTCTTCAACCTTAGGAATGGTGTTCCTAAGAACACAGGAGGCCAGATCACCTGGGTCTGGTTCACAGGCATTGGTTCCATGCTGGGAGAAGCAAGCTAAGACCTGTGTGTCCCTCCAACACACATGCAGTGGAGCACAGAGCCTTGGGTGTCACTCAGGAGAAGATTGCCATTGTCCCCACTCCGAGCTCCAGAGCTCTGAGATTTTGCCCAGAGGAAGAAGCAGACCCTCATAACAGCTCCCATTCTCTTCCTAGAGGGATGGTTTCATTTGCAGCAGAATTTAGAAAAGTGCAATCCTCAATGGATGTGAAAATAAAAGACATCCAAACTGGGAAGGAAGAAGCAAGCTGTTTCTATTCACAGATGATATGATCTTGCATATAGAAAATCTTAAGGAATTCACTAAAAAGCTCTAGAACTAATCCACAGGTTCAACAAGGTTGCAGAATACAGGATCAATACACAAAAATCAATTGTATGTTTATATACTTGCAATGAACAATCTGAAGATGAAACCCAGGAAAATTCCATTCGCGAAAGCATCAAAAGAATGGGTACTTAGGAATAACACAGGAAGTACAAATTTGTACTCCAAAAACTACAAAACGTCGTCCAAAACAACTGAAGAGCTAAATAAATGGAAAAATATCCCGTGTTCATGGATTCAGAAGTCTTGCTATATTAAGATGGCAATATACAAACTATTGTGGAATTTTGCTCCTTAGTTCAGCTGGGTTCTTGTCATACAACCAGGAAAGTCTAGGCACATGAACACATCGAAGGGTGAGTAGAGCAGGATTTTATTGGGCAACAAAGGGAAAAAAAGAAAAAAAAAACTCACAAAGCAAGATGGAGTCCTGCTAACAGGCTCCCACCTCACAAGTAGAATCCCAAGCCACCACACAGAAACTGAAGAGGCCAGGTTCCTCCCCGGCCTGGGGCTCCACCCATTTCCCCAGAGCGCATGTGGCATGCTCAGACGAGGCTCTGTGCGGGTTCCCTCATCTGCACAAAAGCATCTGGTGTAAACACTTGCAGGATGGGGCAGAGATTCTGGACATTTCACTGTCACAAACCCAATCTACAAATTCAGTACAATCCCAGTTAGAACCCCAGCCAACTTCTCTGTAGAAACCGGCACAAATTAGACAAAACAATCCTAAAAAAGAAGATCAAAGTAGTAGGACTCACGTGTCCCTATGACTGCTGGAGAGCAATGGCTATCTCAGCCAGCAGCATGGGGGTGATGAATTTTCCAAGACGGTTGTAGGTAAAGAAAGGCAGGTTGATGAGAGAAAGAAAGAAAACACGTTTTGAGGAGGCAACAGGCAGCCCTGAGGAGAGAGGCTGCCTGTGAGAAGACCAAGGCTTGCTGGAGATTTTACAGGTGGCATTTATGCAGAAGAGGGCTTTGTGCAGCACCGTAGCACCAAGGCGGTGGTGAGCTAACTGTGGTGTCTGGTGATAGCTCTGCACAGGAAAATTGTGAGCCATTTGCCGGGAGGGCTGGTGTCCTAGATCATGGAAACGCAGACTTGTCACTCATCTGCTTTATGTCTTTGCTTTCCCCTGGTCCCACCAGCCTGACTCCTATTTCCTCATTAGGACTCCACACCTATTTCAAACTTACTACAAAGCTATAGTAATCAAGATAGTATTACACTCACATAAAGATAGACATAGAAACCAATGGGGGTCCAGAAATAAGTCCATGTGTCCATAATCAATTTATTTTCAACAAAGGGGCCAAGACCACTTGATGAGGAAAGGACAGTCTTTCTGTAAACGCTGCTGAGACAACTCTGTCTCCTCATGCAAAAGAATGAAGTTGGACTCTCACCTCACACCATACACAAGAATTAATCAAAACTGGATCAGAGGCCTAAATGAAAGAACTAAAACCATAAAACTCTTAGAAGAAAACAGTGGGGAATCATCGTGACTTCAGATTTGGCAGTGGATTCTTAGATGTGGCACCGAGAGCAGGAATGACAAACAAGAAAATACATAAACTGGACTTAACAAAAATTAACAACGGTTGTTCATCACAGGACACTATCAAGGAAGTGAAAAAGAAAACCCACAGAACGGGAGAAAATATTTGCAGATCAGATACAATAAGGGACTTGCATCTAGAATATGTGAAAAGCTCTTACAGCTCAATGATAAAAGGACAGTTACCCCATTAAAAGATAGGCAAAAAGATCTGAATAGACACTTCTTCAAGGAAGACATACAGGTGATTAGTAAGTACATGAAAAGACACTTAGCATCATTAATCATCAAGGAAATCCAAATCAAAACCACAACATGATAGCACGTCACACCAATCAGATTGGCTGGAATCAAAAGACAGATAATAAGGAGTGTTGGTGACGATGTGGGGAGCTGGGACCCCTCCAGGGCTGGGAGGAATGTAACATGGTGCAGCCAGCTTGGAAAACAGTCTAGCAGTACCTCAAATAATTAAACATATTTACCATATAACCCAACAATTTCACTTCCAAGTATATAACCAAGATAAATGAAAACATGTCTACACAAAAACATATACAATTTATTTTTGTGTATTGATCTTGTATTAGGCAACCTTTGTGAACTTGTGGGTTAGTTCTAGAGCTTTTCAGTGAATTCCTTAAGATTTTCTAAATGCAAGATCATATCATCTGTGATCTTGCATTTAGATCAAGATGATAATGCATCTTGATTATTACAGTTTGCGTCTTCTTTCCCAATTTGGATGTCTTTATTTTCATGTTCAGTAAGGCTTGAGCTTCTCTAAATTCTGCTACAAACGAAACAGTCCCTTTGGGAGGAGCTGGGAGTGGGGACAATGGCAATCCTCTCTCTGAGTGACACCCCAGGCTCTTTGCTTCATTGTGTGTGTGTTGGGGGACACACAGGTCTTCTTGATTTGCCTCTCCCATCATGGATTCAATGACTGTGAACCAGAACAAGGGAGTCTGGGCTCCTGTGTTCTTAGGAGCACCATTCCCAAGGCTCCAGGCCCATCTTCTATTCCATAAACTAGCTGAGCAGAACAAGGGCACCTCCAGCTCAGGGCCACACTCACCTGAGACTTAGTCTTGGCAACAGGCAGCTGAGGACAAGATAAGAAAAGCTGAGGCCCTGCCTCTTCCAGGAAGAAGGCCCTTTAACTAGAAGCTGTAGGGAGTGGAGCCTGTGTGCTTGGCTGCAGCCTCTGGAGTGCAGCCTGCATTGCTGAGCTGGGAACAGCAGAGAATGAGCAGGTTTTAGCTCAAATGCCAGAGACATTTGCCAAATTACAGTAGCTTTTCTTTCTTTCTTTGTATCTTTTTCTTTTTTTTTGACACAAAGTCTCCCTTTCTTACCCAGGCTGGAGTGCAGTGGTGCGATCTAGACACACTGCAACCTCCGCCTCCCAGGTTCAAGTGATTCTCCTGCCTCAGCCTCCTGAGTAGCTGGGGTTACAGGTGCATGCCACCACACCCGGCTAATTTTCGTATTTTTAGTAGGGCCGGGGTTTCGCCACGTTGGCCAGGCTGGTCTTGAACTCCTGACCTCAGGTAACCTGTCCACCTTGGCCTCCCAAATTTCTGGGATTACAGACATGAGCCACCGCACCTGGCCAGTAGCTTTTCTGGAATAAATGTTTCTTCTTAGGACCATACAGCAGAGACTTTAAGCCCAAACCCTAGCCAAATGATGGAATATTGCCCAGCTATGGAATAGAATAAAGTACTGACACAGACTACAGCGTGGATGAACCCCGAAAACATGCTAAGTGAAAGAAGACAGTCACAAAAGACCACATATTAGATGATTCCATTTATATGAAATGTTCAGAAGCAAATCTATAGAAATCTACTTCCCAGTAGATCAGTGGTTGCGTAAGGCGAAGGTGTGGCGGGGTAAGTGGCAAAGTGGTAATTAAAGGGTCCAGGGCTCCCGAAGGAAGTGAGGAAGACTGTGCTGGTGACTGTGGGCGTCTCCCACTGAGCCGCACACGAGAAATGAGTGACGTGTGTGGTACACAGTGGCCTGTATCTCAAGGAAGAGTCTCACTGCTTCTGGGACCTTCTAAGGCCCAGAGCCCAGTCACCACACCTAATGCAAATGGCAAGGGACCAGGGTCACTGGATTCTGGCCGCCTCTGGTCAGCTGGATGTGTGTAGGATCAGGGAGGAGCTCTTGCCTTAAAGGGACGGGCATT